ATTATATTAAGTATCTTCTCAGACCACAATAGCATAAAACTAGATATCAACAAGAAGAGAAACTTTGAAAACTATATAAATACATGGAAATTAAACAACCCACTCCCGAATAACCATTAGGTCAATGAAGAAATTAAGGAGGAATTCAAAAAATTTTTGAAACAAGTGAATACAAGATAAAGCATACCAAAATATGCTCTATTCTAATACAGCAAAAGTAGTACTAAGAGGTAAGTTCATAGTATTATAGTAACAAGTGTCTACATTATTTTAAAAAATTAGAAAGATTTCAAATAAACAATCTAATAGTACACCTCAATGAACTAGGAAAGCAAGAACAAACCAAACCCAAAAATTAATAAAAGGAAAGAAATAATAAAGATCAAAGCAGAAATAAATGAAATAGAGACTTAAAAACAATACAAAAGGTCAACAATATGAAAAGTTGGTTTTTCAAAAAGATAAAATTGATAAACTACTAGCTACACTAACCAAGAAAAGAAGAGAGAAGGCCCAAATAAAATTAGAAACAAAAAAAGACACATTATAACTGATACCACAGAAATACAAAAGATCATCAGAAACTATTATGAACAACTACACGCCAACAAACTGGAAAAACTAAAGGAAATGAATAAATTAATGGTCACACACAACAAAGACTGAATCGGGAAGAAATAGAAAAGTTGAACAAAGCAATAACTTGTAATGAGATTGAATCAGTAATCGAGTCTCTCAACAATGAAAAGCCCAGGACTGGAAGGTTTCACTGTCAAATTCTACCAAACTTACAAAGAAGAACCAACACCAATTATTCCAATTATTCCAACTATTCCAAAAAAATTGAAGAGGCAGAAATTCCTCCTAACTCATGCTACAAGGACAGCATTACCCTGATACCAAAACCAGACAAGGATACATACATAAAAAAGAAAACTACTGGCCAGTATCCCTGATGAAAATAAATGCAAAAAATATCCTCAACAAAATATTAGCAAATCAAATCCAACAACACATTAAAATGATAGTATAGCATGATCAAGTGGGATTTATCCCAGGGTTGCAAGAGATGATTCAAATATGCGAATCAATAAACGTGATACATCACATCAACAAAATAAAGGACAAAAACCACATGATTATCTCAATAGATGTAAATAAACCATTCGACAAATTTCAACATCCCTCAACAAACTAGGCATAGAAGGAACATAGCTCAAAATAATAAAGCCCATATATGACAAATCCACAGCTAACATCATACAGAATGAGGAAGAGTTGAAAGCCTTTCTTCTTAGAACTGGAACAAGACAAGGCTGCCCACTTTCACCTTTCATCATAATACTGGAAATCATAGCCAAAACAATCAGATGAGAGAAAAATAAAAGGCTTCCACGTTGGAAAAGAAGTCAAATTGCTGCTCTTTGCAGATGACATGATTTTACACCCAGAAAAACCTAAAGACTCCACCAGAAAACCTCTCAGATCTGATAAATGAATTCAGTAAAGCAGCAGGATACAAAAACAACCTACAGAAATCAATAGCATTTCTATATACCATTAATGAACTATCTGAGAAAGAAATGGAAAAGGCAATTTCACTTGAAATTGTTACAAAAAACCAAACTACCTAGGAATAAATTTAATCAAGGAAGTGAAAGACCTGTACAAGGAAAACTACAAAATATGTATGAAGAAATTGAAGATATACAAACAAATGGCAAAACATCCTATGTTCATGAATCAGAATAATTAACATTATTAAAATGGCCATAATACCCAAAGAAATCTGCAGATTCAATCCTATTCCTATCAAAATATCAACAGCATCTTTCCCAGAATTAGACAAAACAATCCTAAAATTCCTATGGTGCCAAAAGAGAGCCCAAATAGCCAAAGCAATTTGAGCAAAAAGAACAAAACAGGAGGCATTACATTACCTGACTTCAAAATATATTACAGAGCTATAGTAACAAAAACAGCATGGTACTGATATAAAAACAGACTCATAAGCCAATGGAACAGAATAGATAACCCAGAAATAAATCCACATATTTACAGCTAAACTGATTTTCAACAAAAGCATGAAGAACATACACTAGGGAAAAGACACCCTCTTCAATCAAGGGTGTTAGAAAAACTGGATATCCTTATGCAGAAGAATGCAACTGAACTCCTATGTTTCACTACACACAAAAAACAACTCAAGATAAGATTAAAGGCTTAAATGTAAGACTCAAAACTATAAAATCTACTAGAAAAAAACATAGAGGAAACACTTTAGGACATTGCTCTAGGCAAAGATATGGCTAAGACCTCAAAAGCGCAGAGAATGAAAACAAAAATATAGGAATGAGGCTATATTAAACTAAAAAGCTTCTACACTATAAGGGAAGCAATCATCAGAGTGAAGACAGAACCTGTTGTATTGGAGAAAATGTCTGCAAACTATTCATCTGGAAAGGGATTATTATCCAGAATATATAAGAAACTCAAACAACTCAACAGTTAAAAAATAATAATAATAACCCCATTAAAAAGTTGGCAAGGGACATGAATAGACTTTTCTCAAAAGAAGACACAAAAATAGCCAACCAGTATACAAACAAAAAATAAACGCTCAACATCACTAATCATCATCACTAATCATCAGGGAAATACAAATCAAAACCACAGTGAAATATCATCACCACCCTCCTTAAACTAGGATACCATCGGAATTAGGATTAAATATAAATCAACCAATATCCAAATGGACTGTAGCCCAGTTTTGAGTGTTCGTCTAGGTGTTTCAGAAAAATCTCAAACTCTGAAATTGTATAAAGATGATCCTGGGTTGGTGCAAGTAGGAGTTAGCAAGAATTAAATTTTAAAATCTTCTATAGGGGAAGATATCATCTTAGGCCTCGAATTGTTTCTACAAAGAATTTTTGAATACAATGTCCAGCACACAATTAAAATAAACCAGGAACTCTAGGAGACAAGACAAAATGTGCAGAAACAAGCAGAAATAATGAACCACAGGAACAAACACATAGATTCTCTCCACAGTGGAATTCTCAAACACAGGCTGTAAAATACCTATCTTTACTACAATGAAGGAGATAAAGCCAAACCTAAAAAGCTTGGAAGAAGCTGAAAGTGGCACAGCAGATTGGAAAAAAGAACAAACTAAAATTCTAGAATTGAAAAATAAATAACTGGAATAAAGAACCAGATTGCTGGCTTTTGTTCTCAGTTACAAGACGGCTAAAAAGAAAATTCATAGACTCGATTAAAGGTAAAAATGAATGAATGCACGCATACATACATGTATACATACAACCCCAAAAGAGGCATGGAAGAAAAAAGAAAAGTACAGAAAAGAGACACACACAATACAATGAGAAGGTCTAACATATATTTAGCTGGAGTCCCTGAGAATGAGAAAATGGAACGGAAGAAATATGTGAAGAGACGATGGCTCAAACTATTTCAAAAACTGATGAAGGACTTTCATGCAGAGTTTCAAGAATCTCAACAAATCTCAAGAGAAGTAAATTTAAAAGAAAAAAAAAAACTACATATAAGCATCTTACAGTAAAACTACAGAAAGCAGGAGATAAAGGAGTCTTGAAAACAGAGCAGTAACAAAAAACAACCATTCATACAAAACTTTTAGCAAAGTTAAAACCGTTAAATTTCTAATTAATAAAAATACTACAGTGAATAGCGAATTTTTGCCTTTTAAGAAGTGTACGAAGTTTATGGAAAACCAGAAAGTCCTTCTAAGACAGGACAGATAATCATATAGAGCCAAGAGGATGAATAATGGCATCATGTGCAGTCCTGCCTTCCTCCACAGTCTGCTGGGTTCAGCTGTGTTGGTGAATTCAGTGGTCCTTGTCCAGTGATGCAAAACTCTCAAGTGCTGGGGGAAATTATTTACGACCCACAATAATGTAACTGATATCATTCCTCTATTAACCAATGATGTATATACTAATTCTCATCAAAGAAATATATATCATAGAACATACTGTACACGTGGAGAGAATTAAAATACACAGTAGCATATGTTGGGAGAAGAATTAGTGGCAAAGGGTTTTTAAAACACTTTACTGTTCAAAAGGAGGGTCAAAATATCAATTACAATTGAATTTTAAGAAAGTAAGACACGCTGTAATCGCAAGGGTATTGCGATTGTTAGGTTGGGCTAATTGCTGTAATAAACAACCCCTCAAATCTCAGTAGTTATGGAATAAATGTTTCCTTCTTGCCTCGGTAGCCAACTAATGCAGATCGGTGGGGCTCTACTCAGGGGTCCAGGTTTCTCCCACGTTTTGGGTCTGTCTCCCCGGGAGCCTCAGGTCCTCCCTGGTATCCCATATCTGGCTACCGATAAGGAAAGGGCGACAGCAGGTGTGGAGACTTTTTAGGGACCACGCCTATGAGTGGTGGATGTCTTTTATGACCGAATTCCAGTGAGCAGAACTGAGCAAATAGAAGGGAATTAGACGAACTCACAGTTTTGTCTCCACCAAGTATCCTAACTGGTGACAGAACAGACAGGTGGAAGGGAGTGGGGGAAGAGGAATGAAGAACAAATATCCTCAATCAATCAAAAACAGACAAGAAAATAGAAGAAATGCAAGGGTTTCCAATCCATATTACACCCCTGTCACTGTCGGGATCGTTACTTGGCCTCCCTGAGCCTCTGTTTTATTAACAGAAAACACAAAATACTTCCTAGGGATGGTAAACTAATTCAGTCAGATAACGCAGGGAAAGTGCTTAGCACGCCGGCTGACACGAACTTACAGTGCCTGGATGCTGCTATTCATCACTAACACTTGCCACACCAGGTCGAACGTACGTGTGTGCGGACCTGGCGCTGAGGCTCATGTGAGCAACTTGGGGCGGGGAGGATCCCGGAGCACCACCACCCCGGCCCCGCCCCGCCCCGCGCGTGGCCACGCCCACGTCCCGCGCGTGGCCACGCCCACGCGCCGGGGCCGAAGGAGAGGTTGCGTAGCAACGTGTGTTGCTCTGTAGTCCAGGCTGCGGTGGCGGAGGACTGGCGATGCCCAAGAACTCGGTGGTCATCCTGCGCTACGGGCCCTACAGCGCGGCAGGCCTGTCAGTGGAGCACCACACCTTCCGCCTACAGGGCCTGCAAGGTGGGCCTCCCCGCCGCGTGCGCGCCTGCGCGTCCCAGCCTCCGGGCGTTCGTGTAGGTGGTGCCCTGTGCCTAGGCCTTCCTTCCTCAGACCGCTACCAAGCGCCACCTCCCCAGGAAGTCTTCCCACAGCTCCCAGTCCGCCGGATGACGTAAAATCCATCCTATGGCTTCCAGGGCTTGGATAAAAGAGTGGGAAAGCTGTTCTATTCAAGAGTGAGCTCTCCACCCAGTGCCCAGCACATTACACAAATTACCTCCATAGAAAAAATTACATAACCCTGCTTTAAGAATTGGGAAACTGAGGATCAGGAATATTAAGTGACTTTCACAAGTCAAATAGCTGGGAAGTAGCGGTGCTGGGATTCCATTTCTTAATCATTCATGCAACATACTTTTACTAAGCACCCAGTGTGTGTTGGACACCCAGGGACTGAAGACACACTGTTGAACAGTGATGAATGTCCTTGAAGTAATCTTGTTAACTGTTAAATGACAGTTGTGCCTAAGCTCTGACTGAGGCTAGGTGGTGCCTTGGGAACTAACCGTAGTGGGACCTGGGTCTAGCCATAATGGGAGGGTAGAGGGAGAGGCCTGGAAAGGCTCATCTAAGTGGAGCCTTCAATGAGCCCACATTTGAGCAGGGCTTTAAAGAATGAGTAGAAACTAACCAAGTCAAGAGAGAAAAGCTTTACAGGCAGAGGGACTAATAATATGGGGAATGGCTGGAGGCATTCAACAAATGATGTATTAATATTTGTTCAACTGACGGGGGATGTGGCTGGAGAGGTATTCAGGGGCCAGATCCTGCAGGACCACAGACAAGTTTTAGGTGGGGGATGAAGTTGTTGCTGCTCTGAGGAGGGCAGATTAGAGGGGGCCAAGAGTGGAAACAAGGAAGACAAGTCTGTTTGGGTGGTCCAGGGCTGAGATGAGAGTAGCTTGGACCATAAATGAGACCATGGATCAAAGTGAAAGCAATGGTACTTCCTGAGAAGATGGATGTGGGAGGCAAGGGTGAAAAGAATGTCATCCAGATCCAGTCAGTGTCTGGCTTGAAACAGTGCTGGTGGATGGACATGCTGTCCGCTAAAATTGAAGACACCAAAGATGGGCCACAATTTGGAGGAATATGTGGAACAGTTCCAAAGCAACAGTCTAGGTTGGACATACATATGGTACCCGACTCAGACTTTCTGACTTTGGGATGGATTTATTGGGAGGTAACCCCATCATAAGTAGAGGCACATCTGAACTTACAATGGTTCCACTTGCCATTTTTCCACTTTATGGTGGGCTTACCCAGGTATTAAGCCCACCTTCCATTTACAGTGAGCTTATTGGGACCTAGCCCCATCGTAGGTCAAGGAGCATCTAAATTAAGCTTCATGTGCTTTCAGCTACCTAGATGGAGGTGCTGAATCAGCTCTGTTTTTCTGGAATTCAGAGAAAAAGTCTGAGATGGAGATAGAAAGACCTGAGTCACTGACTTGGAGAGAACATATAGAATGAGATGAGAGCCCAGGAATGAGCATTGATGAACTCCCATGATATGACCCAACTAAGAATCTTCCAGGCAAAATACCCTGGAAGTCCAAGGACGCAAAAATTAGTTTTAGCTGAGCAATCAGGGAAGGCCTCCTGGAGGAGATGGCATTTCAATCAGCAGAGGAAGTTGCTTTCTGTGAGAGAACAGTTGATAGAGAAATTTCTGTTGCAGATACCTCCATGTTTGTATTAGTCTATTGGGACTGCCATAACAAAATACCATAGCCTATGGGACTTAAACAATAAAAATATATTTTTCCAGTCTAAAGGCTAAAATTCCCCGATCAAGGTCTGGCAAGCTCAGCTTTTGGTGAGAGCTCTGGACTCTCTTCCTGGCTTGCTGACAGCCACCTTCTCTCTTGTCCTCACATAGTGGGATTGTATGGGGAGAGATGGGAGTGAGCAAGCTCTCTGATGTTCTTCTTAGAAGAAGAAAGACACTAATCCTATCAGATTAGTTCCTCACCCTTATGATCTCATTTAACCTTAATTACCTCTTTAAGGACCTATCTCCAAATACACATTGGGAGTTAGAGCTTCCATATATGAAGTTGGGGGAAGGGGGCAACAATTTAATCCATAGCAGTGTTGCATGGTGAAGTTTAAAATATTTTGTAGTTTTGGCTGAGGACACAGCCTAAGTAAGTGATTTTTCTCTTCATCCCCCTCTGATAAGCCACACCTATCCACCCTCACCTCATAATCCACGTTTAGTTTATGTTCACTTTCTCTAAAAATAATGTGGATAAAATATATATTTAAAAATTTGCCACTTTAACCATGTTAAGCATACAATTCAATGACGTTAATTAACTTTACAGTGTTGTGGCAGCATCACTGTTCTCTTATTTTTAAAATTGTTCAGCACCCCAAATAGAAACTGTATTCATTAAGCAATAACTCTCCATCTCCCCACCCCCAGCCCCTGGTAACTTGTAATCTACTTTGTAGCTTATTTCACTTAGCATAATATTTCAAGGTTTATTCATGCTACAGCATGTATTATAGTACTTTATTCCTTTTTGTGGCTGAATAAATTCTACTTTATGGATATACCATATTTTGTTTATTCATTCATCTGTTGATAGACACTTGGGTTGTTTCCACCTTTCCACTACTGTGAATAGTACTGTTATGAACATTGGTAAACACATATCTGTTTGAATCCCTTTGTTTTAAAGGAGTGAAATTGCTGAGTCATATGGTAATTCTATGTTTAACTTTTTGAGGAATGACCAAACTGTTTTCTGAAGCAGCTGCACCATTTTACATTACTCCAGCAATGCACAAGGATTCCAAATTTCTTTGTTTTTAAAATTAAAGCCATCCTAGTAGGTGTGAAACAGTATCTTATGGTTTTTACTGAAAATTCTCTAATGATCAGGATGTTGAGCATCTTTTCATGTGCTTATTGGCCATTTGTATGTCTTTGGAGAAATGTCTGTTCAGGTCCTTTGCCCATTTTTAAATTGGGTTGCACCTTTTTTTTGTTATTGAATTGGAAAATTTCCTCAGACATTCTGAACATGAGACCCTTACTAGATAAATTATTTGTAAATATTTTCTCCCACTCTGTAAATTATCTTTTCACTTTCTTGATAGTATCCTTTGATGCACAAAATTTTTAATTTTAATGAAGTCCAATTTGTCTGTTTTTTTCTTATGTGGCCTGTGATATGTTGTTTAAGAAACCATTGTCTGCTGGGCATAGTGGTTCAGACCTGTAATGCCAGCACTTTGGGAGGCTGAGGCAGGTGGATCACTTGAACCCAGGAGTTCAAGACCAGCCTGTTTTGAAGTTCAAAACCAGCCTCTTTGGTAGAGACCAGCCATCTCTATAGAAAATACAAAAATTAGGTGTGTGTGATGGCACGCATCTGCAGTCCCAGCTACTCGGGAGGTAGGAGGTAGGAGGATTGTTGGAGCTCTGGAGGCCAAGATTGCAGTGAATCAAGATTGTGCCACTGAAGTCCATACTGGGTGACAGAGCACAAGACCCTGTCAAAAAAAAAAAAAAGACAGAAAAGAAAAGAAAAGAAATCATTGTCAAGTCTAAGACTTTGCAGATTTGCCCCTATGTTTTCTTCTAAGAATTTTATAATTTCTAAATTTAGATCTTTGACCCATTTTTAGTTAATTTTTGTATATGGTGTAATGTAAGGGTCCAAATTCATTCAAAAGATATTCATGTGGATATCCAACTATCCCAAGACCTTTTGTTAAAGAGACTGTTCTTTACCCATTGAATGGCCTTTGCACCCATGTCAAAAATCAACTATTTGTTCACATAAGTCAATGTGAACATTTATTTCTAGGCTCTTAATTCCATTCCATTGTTCTGTATGTTTCTCCTTATCTCAGTATCATATTATTTTGATTACTGTAGCTTTCTAGTAAGTTTTGAACTCAGGAAATATGAGTCTTCCAACTTAGTTTTTTTCTCAAGATTGTTTTATCTGTTTTAGGTCCCTTGAAATTCTCTATTAATTTTAAGATAGGTTTTTCCATTTCTGCAAGAAACTCCATCCGGAATGTGATAGGTATTGCTTTGAATCTGTGTAATCCTTTGAGTAGCATTGTTATTTTAACAATACTAAGCCTTTTAATCCATGCACACAGGATGTATTTTCATTTATTTAGATCTTCCTTAATTTCTTTTAGCAACTTTTATAGTTTTCAGTGTATAAGACTTGCACTTAATTGTTTGTGTATATTCCTAAATGTTTTGTTCTTTTAGATACTATTATAAATTGAATGATTTTCTTTATCTCCTTTTCAGATCAGTCATTGCTAATGTGTAGAAATACAACTGCTTTTTGTGTGTTAATTTTGTATCCTTCAACTTTGCCAGTTTCATTTATTAACACTAACAGCTTTTTTTTTTTTTAAGAACACTAGCAGTGTTGGGATATAAGATCATGCAATCCGCAAATAGAGGTAGTCTTACTTCTTCCTTTCCAATTTAAATGCCTTTTATTTCTTTCCTTTTTATTTCTTTCTCTTTATCTGGCTAGTACTCCTAATACTATGTTAATTAGAAGTGGCAAAGGTGGGCATCCTTGCCTTGTTCGGTGGGCCTCCTTCAATCAGTTGGAGGCCTTAAGAAAACAAACACTAATGTTTCTGAAAGAACACAGGACTCTCCCCAAGACTGCAACATAGAAACTCTACCTTTCTCTCTAGCCTAGACTGTGAGCCAATTCCTTAAAATCTCTCCCCCACTATCTCTCGATAGATAGATGATAGATAAATAGATAGATAGATAGACAGATATGCAAACATACACATACATACAACACACACACACACACACACACACACACACACACACACACACACAGAGAGAGAGAGAGAGAGAGATGGTCCCTGACTTACAATTGTTTGACTTATTTTTGACTATATGCTGATGCTTTCAGCTGTGTACATTAATTGTGAGTACCCATACATCCCCAT